AGGACCAAGGGTTTTTGCTAGTTGAGATAAGGATAGCTATACAGGGAGTTGACTTGCATTGCTTTCCTGTGCATGTGTGTTACTGTCTAAATTCTTCTCGAACTAACCTTTTCTCTAGTTCCTGGTTCCCTTCTCCTGTTGGTCTCTGTCGCTTTAAAGTATCTGCATTAATTTCTCTGCACTGAGGGCAACAAATGCTATCTAGTTTTTTTGGTGTCTTACCTATCCTCATACCTCTCAAGCGTGCTCTCGCTTTATCATGGGATCAAAGTCCAATCCCCTTGTTGTGTTTGCCCTTGATCTAATGTCCGCATATGAGGGAGAACATATGATTTTTGGTCTTTTGGGCCAGGCTAACCTCACTCAGAATGATGTTCTCCAGTTCCATCCATTTACTTGCGAATGATAACATTTCATTCTTCTTCATGGCTGCATAAAATTCCATTGTGTATAAATACCACGTTTTCTTAATTCATTCGTCAGTGGTGGGGCATCTTGGCTGTTTCCATAACTTGGCTAGTGTGAATAGTGTAGAAGCAAGAAACTTAAAAAAAAGTTGTGTTAATTGTTTTTTTAACAATCAGCTCAGCTAAGCATGTTTGTTTGCCTTCTTATGCAGTGTTGTCTCTTTTGACCATTGACATGTTTGTTTGTTCCTTTTAAATAAGTACATTCATTTTCACATGTTTTTAAACCTTTGTGTTTTGTGTTGCTTCTGGGTGAACCTAGGACATTTTTATATAATGTTAAACAATCTATAGCTTTCTTAGTCCAAAGCTTTTCAGTGTTTTCAGGAATTTCATATAACTAGGACATTTAAGGTGTTTTGCACTATTTAAAGCTGTGATTTGGAAATTACAGATTTTTTTTTTTATATAAGGATTTGAACTCAGGGCCTCAAGTTCTCTAGGCAGGATCTCTTACTACCTGATCCACTTTGCCAGCCCTTTTTTTCATGATGGCGTTTTTCCAGATAGTGGTTTGCAAATGCTTTGCATAGGGTGGCTTCCTGCCCAAAGCCTCCTGATCTCTGCTTCCTGAGTAGCTAGGAATACAGGTATGAGTCACTGACTCCAGACTGAAATTGTAGAATTTTATATTACACACATGAGCCACCAGCATGCTGGACCCAATTGAAGTTTTGAGTCCTTTGAACATTATGTCTGCATTTCCCCCAAGTCTTTGTACTCAACATTCTTTTTCCAGACTCAATAAGTTTTTGAAAACTAACAGAAAATAGGAGGTCATTTTTTTATGCTTCTCAAAAACAAATATATTTGCATCATCTCTGAGAGTCACTGAAGTTGTAAGGCCTTCTGTGAGAACATATAAATTCTGGAATTTTTAAAAATCAGTAGTATTGCTTTCTTCCAGAAGAGCAACCTTCCATGAGTCTTGCTTCTCCTCCTGTAGGCTGACACCGCACTGTTTAACATTGTTCACAAAGAAGCACTGTTTGCACATGGCTGAAAACTGGGAGAATCTTGTAGCCACCTGGACATTTTACATCCATAAAATACAAATTTAGTCTTGGAACTAATGATTTTTTTTAAGTTTTTTCTTTTCCTCTTGTGAGGAAAGATGTAGAAATCTCTAACCAAAGGCATGTTTAGTCCTTTGGCAAGCGTAATGTGTCTCAATCACTCAGGTAACAGCCACCTCCAGCAAGCAGCATGTGAGCTAAGACTTTTTTTTTAAATAGAAAACAATGTGTAGAAAATATATCTGTGTACAGCAGCTAATAGCATCCTTTTGTATACCATCTCTTATTGCTTGAATGGAAAAAAAGTAAACCCCATACAAGTGTCACTGTACCTGCCCTGACTTTTCATCGCAGCCTGTTTCCACTGATCCTTAAACTCCTGGTCCCACTCTCACATACTGCACTCCCATCCTTAGAATAGGTACACTTCCTAGGCATACCAGACTGAGAGGTTCTGCTGTGCCTTCTGCATTGAGACTATCTGGGGTTATGTGACATAGCGATTGAGCACTGGGTTTTGAATTCAGTGCCTCCTGCTTGCTAGTTAGCCACTCTTTCTGCTTGAGCAATTCCACCAGTACTGTGTTGGGTGTTTTTGAGATAGGGTCTCTCAACATATTCCTCCTGATCTCTGTTCCTGTGAGGTAGGAAAGCAGGCATAGTTCACCAGAGCCAGCAACCTGCAGCATCTAAGTCTTTGATGGATCCTGCATTTTTGTCATACCTGAATTCCTTTATGCAACCAAGGTAAAATAATTTCCCATATCCTTTGAAACTATGAAGTTTAGGTTTTCCATTTAGGTCTGTGATCCAAATAGACCAAATACATTCTCGGCATGAGCTGCTGTGCATGACTTCATTTTGTCATTGTTGTTGTTATTTATTTTAGTACTACAGGATGAAGTATTGACAAAGGTTTCAGCTAGCAAAAGAAAGAGAGAAATATTTCCTGTCCCCACCCAGGAAATGAAGCAAAGACTCCTGTTTTGTTTTGTTTTTTTCCTTGATATTGAGTCTCCCTAAGTAGGCCAGGATGACAGTGAACTCACAATCCTTCTTTTGCCTCCCATGTGCTGGGAAGAGTAGCTGGAACCAAGTTCTTTATGGCTGCATTCACATACTCTTTTGTGTATTTTATGTTAATATACCAAATGGTCAGTGGAACCGTAACATGGTTAAAAGAAAAACAAGAAAACAACAAAAGCACTTGTCAGGCTAAGAATGTGTGACTTAATGATAGAGTATTTGCTTAACAACTCCCTGGATCCAATCTCCAGCACCACACACAAACATTAAAAAAAAAAGGTGAAAAATTTTGGCTGGCCAAAATCCATTGATGGATTGATTCAAAACACAACAGTCTACTGGGAGGTACTTGAATTGTGTAAGGTAGTGCTTACTTGGGGGGCATACTTTGAAAAAGATACAATTTGTCCCTGGCTCCTTTCTGTCACTCTCTATCTACTTCCTTTCACCATGGGATTAGCTGCTTTACTAGGATTACAGGTGTTAGTCACCTGTACCCAGCTAGTGGCTTACTTTTTATGTTGTTCATTGTTGTGACATATTTGTGTGGAGTGAAATGGCAGGAAATGAGACTTCAGGACCCTTTCTCTGGGTGTGTGTAGTGACTTTCTCCTTTTTCCCATTCATTTGATTATGGTTACATGAATTAGTATTCATTGTCTGCTTATCAGAAGGGGAAAAAGGAAAATGAATGTAATAGTCATTGCTGAAATCTTCAGTCCCTTGAAAATCGTAACAGATGGAGGACAGGGACCAGGGAACAATGGAGGGAGTGCAACAACAATGGCCCTCAAGAGTCACATTGAAGGAGAGCTGCACAGTATTTCCCAAGTAGAGTCTTTTTGGCTGAAATCTGCCCTCTCCATCCAAGTAGTTTTTCAAACTCATGAAATGGTTTTTGCAATGGAAGTAAGGTGTTGTGTAATTGGTACTGTGCTGAGTTGAAACTAACTAAAATTATTTACAGTTTGCCATCCAGTACTTTTTATGAAAATGAGAACCCTTCAGCAGACTACTGAGACTTGAAGTACCCACATGGGGGAGGTGTTGGCAGTGAAATTTTTTCTAAGGGGAGTAAATTATTCATACTTCTTATTCTACCATGTTCTCTAAATCCTATCCCCTGCCTATGTAAATTAATACATTCTTTTGGGACGCAGCTTAAATGTCCTTCCTCAACAAGTGTCCTTACTCCCACTTCAATTAGCTTTATTGTTTCTTGTAGATTTCAGTCATAAGAATGAAATTGTTCTGAATAGTGTCACCTGTAGTTTTATCAATTCTTACTCCTTAAATAATAATATTCTCTCTTGCACTGAGATTAACTTTTAATTTCTACACAGCCTCTTTGAACTGTGGATTTATAAGGGTTGTGTGGAGACTCCTGATATTTACAAAGGTGGCAGTCAGTTTAGAATGTTCCATATGTGTTCTCAATGAACACGTAGTGTGACAGGTTAGGGAAAAGAGAATGAAAATGTTACCCCTTACCCACAACATAAGTGAATTCTGGAAGATATTTTCAAATGAATAATTTAAATTGAACATGATAAGAGAGTCTCAGTTGGATTGAAGAAAGGGAGAGTTACAGTGCTTGACAAGATAGGCTGCTGGGAAACAATGGCCCATCCCTTTAATCCTAACTACATAGGAGTTTGATACTGGAATACTTCTGCTTCCAAGTAGCTGGGCATAATAGTTTAAGAGACCCCCAACTCCAGTATTTCCAGAGCTAAATAGACTTGATGTATGGCTCAAAGGTAGAGAAGCTACTTTACAAGGAAAAAGCCTTGAATCAGACCCCAGTACCACCAAAGAAACATGAAAGATCTTGATTCAATGCCAGCTTATCAAATAGTTCATGAGACCCTGTCATGAAAAGCCATTGACAAAAAATGACTGGTGGAGTGGCTCAGAGTATAGGTTCTGAGTTCAAATTCCAGTACTGAAAAAAAAATTCCATGTTGAAAATGGAAATTGTTTGGAAACACTGAGCTCCTCTTTCAGTCTAGCTAATGAAGTAAATGCCACTGAAGTTCCAGGCATGGTTGAACTTTGTTTTCAAACATTTCTAAGGATATAAGAACAAGTGATTTATATTTGTCTTCTTTTTTCTTTTTTTTTTTTCCTTGTGGGAATGTGCTTTGAACTCAGGACATCACTTCACCAGCCCTAGGGATGTTAATTGTCTTGTGCAACCTGAATTGCAGTTCATTATTATGACAAAAATTGTAGACCACTCTCTAAAAAGAAATTGGTGTGATTCAGGAGTACTAGTTTGTTCTGCTACTGCTGTTGCTTTCACAATTACTTTCAAGCTACTATTAAAAGTGCTATGTAAGAGAGTGGGTTTGCATGAAGAGCACGTGTTTAATGCCCAAGACATGGAATGAACACTTTGAGGTCACAGCATCATGTGAACACTTAAAGTCTGTATCTTCAGTACTGTCAGTCTGACCTTCCTCCTTGAAATACACTTGTCATATTTTAGGCATCTGTGACCTTTGATGATGTGTGTGTCAAGTTCACCCAGGAAGAGTGGGCTTTGCTGGATCCTTCACAACAGAAGCTGTACTGGGATGTGATGGTAGAAACCTTCAGGAACCTGGCCTCTGTTGGTAAGGATGACTTCATTCCCTTAGTCAATGAGAGAACCAGTGTTTGTTGCTCTTCAATGCTTTGGAATAATTTGGATTGTGGAAACTGTAAGTTCAGTAAATATAGCTGGTGTTGGCACATGATGCCATAAACCTACTTAAAATCTAGTAGTTATTCTATAGTAATATTATTCAAAATTTTTTCTTTTTCTGTCTCTATTTTATAAAAAAACAAAAACAAAAAAATAAACAGAGGAAGATCAGACCATTGAAGAGGTTTACAGAAATTCCAGAAGAAATCTAAGGTAATTTTCACTCACAAGAGAAACAAATGTAAACACTGAAGGAAAGGAATATGAAACAGGTCATGTGAAGGGGAGGTCAGTAGTGAGAGGAGAGAGGTAAATGAAGAGGGTAAAGCAGGGTGTGCTTGAGTTACCTTTATTGGCAGGAGTGAGGGGGTAATGGTTTGAAATCTGCCCATGACACTGGCAAGGCAAGCATTCTGACACTTGTGGCATCCCTTCAGTGTGTTTTGCTCTGGGTTTGTTGGACATAGGATCATGAGAACTATTTCCCCTGGTGGACCTTGACCCTGGATTCTGTCCGTCTCCCCCTCTCTAGTAGCTACAATTGCAGGAGTCACCCACTGTCCCTATCATGTTTGATGTACTTTCTGTGCATGTCTTTAAATGGAACATTGGAACCTATTGAAGTTTTAAGGCGGGGAATGGGGTAGGAGGAAGAATAATGGAATTCCATGCATAAACAACATGTAGCAATAAAAATGTTAAAAAGGAAAAGAGAGAGAAGAAGAAGTGTCATTTAAGAATCAAAGAGGACTATAGGTGTGTCCCAAGTGATAGAGCACATGTGTTCTAGGTGTGTAAGTGCTGAGTTCAAACCCCAGTCCACAAAAAGAAGAATGAAAAGAGTCAGGATGAAATTGTATTTTTTTCTGCTGTGCTCAGGATTAAACCCTGGGCCTCCAGCTTGCTACACAGGCGCTCTACCACTTGATCCATTCCAACAACCCAGAGTAAAATTTTCAAAAAGGAAATGATGTTGTGGGCTGGTAGACTTTCTCAGGTGAAGCAGTATACTGCTAACCCAGCCAGTGTGAGGGCTGCTTTTCAAGCAGCAGGCCTTGCATTAAACTTAATCCTTAACCAATAAATAAGTAAAATAAGCCAGGTGCTGGTGGCTCACACCTATAATCATAGGTATTTGGGTGGCACAGATCAGGAAGATCAAAATTTGAAACCATCCTCAGTCAAATAATTCTTGAAACCCTAACTCAAAAATCCCTAACATGTTGAAGGGCGGGCAGCCTGATGCAGGTGGTACAGCACCTGCCTACCTGCTGTGAGGCCTTCAGTTCAAACACCAGTACTGCATAAAAAACCCAAATGAAATGCCAACCTCAAATTTTCCATTAATAGAAATATGTAATACCAACATGATGCCCCAGGAGGTAATCTGTTCTTTTAATGTACAAAACCTCTCAGGCAATAAATTGTGAAAAATATTATATGAACTTTCCTTCAAGGAGTGAATATATGGTGCATTTGCATAAAATGAATTCTGTATTTGGATTCATGTCTATAATCTTTGATATAGCTTCTTAGGATTATGCAAATACTTCAAAATCTAAATAATTTTGCTCACATCTCTTCCATGTACAATCCTAAAATGCATTTAAATGTAGTCCATAGTCAGTGTTTGCAAAATACTGGGATGGATTCTTAAGTTACCTGTAACAATACCACTGGTTTGTTACAGGTATCTTTCCTGGAACCATCCTGCATGTTCAAAATATTTTCAGGCCATAAAACCATTACTTCTCCTGGTAATTATTTTTAAAAATGGCTCAGTAATGTGTTTCTCATTATTTCTAGAAGTCAAGTGGTAGGGGGATTCCGTGAACACAAAGAAGATATTCAGTGTGAAGTCTTCAGCCATACTCCAGAACATATTATGAGCAATAATACTCCTACTGAAGTGGGAACAAATGAAAACTGTGTGTGTACAGAAGACTTCATCAGGCATCCATCCCTGAGTCTGCCCTTCAGGACTCAGAGTGGACCTGAGCCACATGAGTATCAGGAATATGGAAAAAAGCCACTTAAATGGAAGTATTCTGGGAAATCCTTTCCTGACTCCAGATTTCTTAAAAGGCATGAAAGAAGTCACCCTGGAGAGACACTCTTTGTATGTAAGCAGTGTGGAAATGCCTCCTTTCATTTTTGTGTCCTTTGCAAACTTGAACTCACTGTAAGTGGAGAAAAACCCTGTGTTTGGAAGCAATTTGGGAAACCCATCTCAAATTTGTGTGCTCTTGAAAAACATGAAAGAACTTCCAGTATAGAGAAACCCTATGTATGCAAGCAATGTGGAAAAGCCTTTAGTTCTTCCAGTTACATCAAAAAACATGAACAAATTCACACTGGAGCAAAACATGCATGTAAAGAGTGTGGGAAAGCCTTCTGTTGGTCCACTAGCCTTCAAAGACATCTAAAAACTCACAGTGTTGAGAAGCCCTATGTATGTGAACAGTGTGGCAAAGCTTTTAATTTTTCCAGTTACCTTAAAACACATGAACGAATTCATACTGGAGAGAAGCCGTTTGCATGTAAGCAATGTGGAAAAGCCTTTCGTTCATCCAATTACCTATTAAAACATGAACAAACTCACACTGTAGAGAAGACCTTTGCATGTAATCAGTGTGGAAAAACTTTTATTTCATCCAATTACCTCAAAAAACATGAACAAATTCACACTGGAGAGAAGTCCTTTGCATGTAAGCAGTGTGTAAAAACCTTTAGTTCATCCAATTGCCTCAGAAAACATGAACGAATTCACACTGGAGCAAAATGTTATGCATGTAAACAATGTGGGAAGGCCTTCTATTGGTCCAGTAACCTTCAAAGACATATAAAAACTCACAGTGGTGAGAAACCCTATGTATGTGAGCAGTGTGGAAAAGCTTTTAGTTCTTCTGGTTACATAAAAACACATGAAAGAAGTCACACTGGAGAGAAGCCATTTGCATGTAAGCAATGTGGAAAAGCTTTCTATTCATCCAGTGCCTTTAGGAAACATGAACAAAGTCATGGTGGAGAGAAAACCTTTGCATGTAAGCAATGTGGAAAAGCTTTTAGTTCTTCCAATTACCTCAAAACACATGAAGGTATTCACACTGGAGAGAAGACCTTTGCATGTAAGCAGTGTGGAAAAACTTTTAGTTCATCCAATTACCTCAAAAAACATGAACGAATTCATACTGGAGAAAAACGTTATGCATGTAAACAATGTGGGAAAGCCTTCTATTGGTTCAGTAAACTTCAAAAACATGTAAAAACTCACAGTGCTGGGAAATCCTATGTATGTGAGCAGTGTGGAAAAGCTTTTACTTCTTCCAGTTACCTCAAAACACATGAAAGAACTCACAGTGGAGAGAAGCCCTTTACATGTAAGCAATGTGGGGAAGCCTTCTATTGCTCCACTGCCTTTAGGAAACATGAAGAAAGTCACAATGGTGAGAAAACTTATTTATGTAAGCAATGTGGGAAAGCTTTTAGTTCTTCCAGTTACCTCAAAACACATGAAGGAATTCACACTGGAGAGAAGACTTTTGCATATAAGCACTGTATAAAGCCTTTAATTCATCCTCAAATGAGGATACCTCAAAACACATGAATGAATTAACAGCGTAGTGGAACCTTATGAGTGCAAACACAGTAGGAAAGACTTCCGTTCTTCCAGCAAACTTTGAAGACATGCACAAAGTAACCCTGGAGCAAACCTACATATGTTAGCAGTGTGGGAAATCCTCCTTCCGTTGAGTGTCCTTCAAAGACACGAACCAACCTACAGTTAACAGAATTCCTTTTTATGTTAGCAATGTGGGATAGCCTTGTTTTGCTTACATGTTGTTAAGAACACAGTAACACCAAAAGAAAAAGGGAAAAAATGGTTACAAGATGGTACAATTTACTGTAACTGTATCAGCTATCTCTAGCTGTGTACCAATTAAAAACTGACAGTTAATTATAAAATAAGCAACTTTGTGTACCATTTGTGAAAAATCATTGTATATATAAAGATATGAGTTAAAGTTATGATAAAAATGTCAGGTATGAAAGAGGCACAAGTTGAATTGAACTTTTACAAAATACGATGACAACACATAATTACAATGTACTAACACTTATCAAGAAAATCAGAAGAGGATTAGACTTTAGGTGTTCTAATCACAATGAAATTATAAGGGTCCAAAGCACTCTATCTGGTGGGTTTCCTAATTTAATCACTCTGTAATAAATGTATACATTTCAAAACATTTTACATTATTAATTTTTTCATCCTATATGTAAAAGTGACAAAAATAGACCCACAAATCAACCCAAACTCTTAGACCCTTTTTACCTTTGACAAAGGTGCCAAAAACATTGAAGAAAGTCTCTTCAACAAATGGTTTGGGAAACTGGATACATGTATGTAGAGGTCTGCAACCAGATACCTGTCACCTGGTACCAGTATGAATTCAAAATACCTCAAGCTACTGTCTGCATATTTATAATTATAACAGTGAAATCTTGTATTGTGAGTGTAAACTACAAAAATAAAATTAACACATACACACATATATGCTAGAGGAGAACAGGCCATTCTGAGAGTACTAGTCATGAAATGTAGAAAGAAAATAAGGGGAGTCAATCCCTTGCATGGGCACAGTCACTTCCACAAGTTGGTAATGCATGTGATTGATTTAGCAGATTACTTGCCATACATGGAACACCTAATCATCTGGGCTTAGAATTCACTTTTTGAGCTTGTATAATATAATTTCTAAAGGCTGGCAGAGTGGATCATATGGATGGAAACAAGACCAGCCTAAGAAGTGTGAAGACCCTGAGTTCCAGCCCTAGTTCTGCCCCATCCCCCCAAAGAACACAGTAATACTAATTTCAAAGTTTAAATCAGAACAGAAATGGCAAATACTGGCTTGTTGTATATTCAAATCACTAATTAAAATATTTTTATACTTGACATCTGGGTGCCATTGGACTCACCCATAATCCTAGTTGTTTGGTAACAGAGACCAGGAAAATCAGAGGTTGGAGCTAGTGGGATCCAATAGCTGTAAGAAACTATCTTGAAAATAGTCAATACCATACAGGGCCTATGAAGTTAATTTGGTATTCAAATATACTCTTTAAAAAATTGTTTTTTGCCAGGCAATGGTAATCTACACTTTCAGCAGGATCATAGTTGGAGGCCACCAAATAGTTCTCAAGATCCTTTCTCCAAAATAACTTGAGGAAAGCTGTGTGCAGGTGGCTCATGTCTGTAATCCTAGCTACCTGAGAGGCAGAGATCATTAGGATCTTGGTTCATTTAAAAAATTGTTTTTTTGCCAGCAATGGTAAATCTACATTTCAGCAGTCATAGTTGGAGGCCACCAAATAGTTCTCAAGATCCTTTCTCCAAAATAACTTGAGGAAAGCTGTGTGCAGGTGGCTCATGTCTGTAATCCTAGCTACCTGAGAGGCAGAGATCATTAGGATCTTGGTTCAAAGCCAGCCAGGGCAAATAGTTTTTGAGACTTTATCTTGAAAATATCCAACACAAAACAGGTCTGGCAGCATGGCCTTGCAAGCATGAGGCCCTGAGTTCAAACCCCAGCTAAAAACACAAAACTAAAAATAGCAATTTACTAAACATGCAATAATTCTCTGTCATGACTTGAATTTAGGATGGTGATTTTCTTGCTTGGAACCTAAGTGGATAGAATAATGAGATGTGATGAAGCAAAGAGAATTCTTGAAATAAGTGATTTGTTTCATACTAACTTTATATAAGATACCAACATTCATGAGATCTCCACTCTGGTGAATACATAGGTCCAGTTCATTGCTGATGTGTCTCCCTGATTTTGTCCAGCTGTGTCTATAGTGGACCCCAGGATAGTTTTCTCTAGAGTTTTACATGGTTTTCCTCTTTTGAGTTTTGAATGCATTAATGATGACTTTATTTACCATTACAATTATACTGAAGTGTGTGTGTGTTTTGGGCTGTAGTGGAGTTTGAACTCAGGACCTCATGCTTGTTACACAGACACTACCATTGAGCCACTCAGCCAGCTGCTATGTGTGTTTGTTTCCTTGCCTATATATGTTGCACATATGGTGGTAGGTAAACCCACAGTTATGACACTTCACACATACCTCTGCATATGAACACTGGGCAGCAATGGAATTTGAACTCAGGGCCTTGTGCTTATGAAGCAAGTGCTCTTCCACTTGAGCCAGACTTCCAGCCCTTTTCGGTTTAGTTAATTTGAAGATGCGGGCATTGCTTTTTGGACCTTGCTTTTGTATTTTGTCATCATTTTGTGATGACACATTGCAACCCATGTCCAACTTTTTTCAGTTGAGCTGGAGTTTTTTCCCCCCATGGGCTGACCTGGAGCTGAAGCCCCCTAATTTCAGCCTCCCACATAGCTTGGATGACATATGCACTCCTGCAATCAGCTATGTTTTGAGATGACGTCTCATGAAGTTTTCTTCCCAACTGGCCTTAAACCACAATCCTGATATCACGTTCTAAAGTAGGGTGAAATATAAGTGAACATACGAATTCTCTTACCCCTGGGCTGGTGGAGTGGCTCAAGTGGTTACAGAAACTGCCTAGCAATTATGAGGCTCTGAGTTTGAACCCCAGTGCTGCCAAAAAGAAATAAAACAATTTTTTGTTCTCCTTAGGATACTTTCATGGGGCTGGGGTCTGGTGGAATGGGGATTTGACTCAGAGCTTCATGCTTGCAAAGCAGGAGGTTTATCGCTTGTGCCACATCTCCAGTTCATTGTTCTTTGGTTATTTTGGAGATGGGGTCTCAAACTATTTGCCCAGGCTGGCCTCCAACTCCTGATATCAGCCTCCCAAGTATTTAAGATTTCAGTTGGGAGCCACTGGTGTAGAGCTCAGTATTCATAAAATGCTTCTCTTCAAATCTTCTCTATGAGACTGAGTATGGTAGCACACACCTGCAATCCCAGACCTTGGGAGGCCAAGGCAGGAGAATTGTGACTTCCCTGAAGCCTGGGCTACAGAGTGAGAACCTATTTCAAAATAAAAAAGGGCTGAAGTCTAGGTCAAGTGGTACAGGACTTGCCTAGTAAGCACCAGGCCCTCGCTCAATTGTGCAGCTGTATTTTGTTATTTTGCTGAGAGACTTGTTATTTCTGTGAGAACCCTGTTGTTTCCCACACCCCTTTAGATAATCAGCTTTGAAAGTGTCTCCCTCATCCAATATGGAGTCTCCTCTGTCATTGCTCCCTTTCCAGTCCCACTCTGTTTCATGTTCTGGTAACTCCATCCTTAGTATAGATGAACTTCCTCAGCATACCAGGCTGTACCTTCTGAATCAAGGCTGTCTGGGGATATGTGACATAGGGATGGCCTGGAGTAAGACATATACAGAATGAGTGGTAAAGTGACCCCCACAGATTCTACTTCATTGTGGACATAGTTGTTCTGGGGATACCTTGTGACATTTGCAAAAGTTTATAATATGTCTTAGTTGGATTCAGCCCCTCCATCTTTCTTCTTTATCTTACCTCTCCCCTTCTTAGAATCATTTCAACAGGCCTCATTTTGTGATTTTCATACATGAGTACCTAATATTTCCACCTTATTTGTCCTCCTGAACCTTTTCCTTTTGTGTTCCCTCCTCTCTCTGTTGGCTCTTTTTAAGATAGGGTCTTTTGCCCTATTTCCCCAGTGTTAGCTTTGAAGTTCTGATCTCTGCTTCGTGAAAATGTAGGATTACAGGCACGTGTCACTAGCACAGGTACTTGGTAGTATCTAAATTGTTGATGGAGCCTGCATTTTTTGGCTGTACTGGGGTTTGAACTAAAGACCTTACACTTGCTAGGCAGGCAGTCTAACACTTGAGCCACTCCACCAGCTGGATCCTGTATTTTTGTCATACCTGAATTTTTTCACTCAACTAAGGTAAAATAATTTCCCATAGTCATAGAGACCTTGTAGTTTATGTTTTCCATTTAGGCCTAATTCACACTGGAGTAACACCTATGTTTGTAAGCAGTGTGGGAAAACCTTCTTGAGGTTGAGTGTTATTCATGAACCAACTCACAATCTACAGAAGTCCTTTATATGTAAGCCATGTGGGAAAGCCTTCTTTGCATACTGTTTAAATGTATGAACAAACCCATGGCAGGGAGAAACTACGTATGTAAGCAGTGCTTCCTCCTCCACGTCTCAGTTGGTGACATGAACAAACTCATAGTAGAATGAAACCATTTATATGTAAGCCTTGTGGAAGTCTTACATATGAGAGATGTTCAAAGACATGCTGTTAAAATGCACGAACATACCAACAGCAAAGATTACACCATATTTTACTAAGGGTTTTTGTACCCAGAGTGATAGTTTGTCTTTTTGTCCATGAAAATAAATATAGAGATGGCATAATTCTCTGTTTTGTGTAATCTGCAGTGTATGAATTTTATGGGTAACATTTTCATCAAGGCAGGTAGTAAGATTTTCTCCTTTAATTTAGATACATAGATAAGTCGAAATGTATTTGATTCCAGTAGGCCAGAAGGCTTACCTCTTATGTTAATTTCGAAGGAATTGTTAAAGGACCATTGGTAAACGAGATTTGGTTGTTGTTTGGATTTTCAGACAGGTATTTAGTAATATGTGTTTATCAATCAGTTAGGTAACAAATGTCATTTTCCCAGATTTTATACTTTTCACTTTTTTTGAATACAGGGCCTCACATTGCTAGACAGAGACCTTCTACCACTTGAGTTATTTTACCAGTCCTTTTTGTGTGTGTGTGTGTCCAGTAGTTTGGAGATAGGGTCTTGTGAATTATTTGCTGCTATTGGCTTCGAACTATGATCCTCCTGATTTCTGCCTCCTGAGTAGCAAGGATTAGAGGTGTGAACCACTGGTGACTGACTCTCCTATGTGTTCAATAGACTGACTTCTGGAATGCAGGTCCTTACAGCATTTCTCAGAAATAATTTGTCCATAGGTGTGTGGGTTTGCTTCTTAGCTATTTTGTTCACTGGTCCAGGTGTCAATTTTTCTGTCATTGTTATGCTGTTGTTTTGTTACAGGTTGGAAGTATATTTTGAAGTCAGAAAGTGTAATGCTTCCTGATTTGGGGAGTGGGGGCTGGTGTGCTGTTTGAATAGAGGCCTTCACACTTGCAAAGTAGGTTGTATACTGTTTGAGCCAAACCTCCAGTCTATTTTGCTCTGATCATTTTGGGATGGGGTGTTGCAATCTATTAGCCCAGGTTGGCCTGAAGCCACAATCC